TGTGTGTGCGCGCATGTGTGTACGTATGTATGTATGTTTACCAATGTAAACCAAACCGCCCTTCTGGGATCAATGAAAGTGTAATTTTTTTTTAATTTCTGTAAAAAAAATTTTTTTTAACACACAGGTGTAATCCATTACAATACACCACCAATCATCATTCACCTGGACTGCCAGTGCTCCACTTCGTTGAACAGGCGTGCCAGCACAAATGCGAACAAGGAGTACGTCTCAGATAAGCGAACTGACTGAGGCAACTGGGGAGCACACCATGGGACAGTTCACATATTATTATTATGAGAAGTGTGCTGACAAAAGGAGTTACTTCTCGGATTCAAGCCTTTAAGGAAATAAGATACATTGCGCTTTTAGGTGAAAGTTTTACAATTTATACATATGAAATGTCAGGCATCATAGTGAAATCAGGCGCTCGTCAAAACATTGAAATTGAAGAAAATGGCAATTTTTCTGCCCATTTGGAAATTTTTTATCGAATTTTTGTATTTTGGCTCAACACCTTTTTTCCATTTAAAGACGCATTTAAGTGTGAATTTTACTGAAAAACGATTAAAAGGCAAAAAAAAAAGAAGTAAATTTGCAGCTTCCAAGGACTCTCCAGTTTTGGAAGTCACCAAACTTTGGTGGCCATCTTTTTTGCTAATGGTACCTCTGAAAACAGGCAACCCTTACCTCATTCAATCACAAATATTTCAACTTCTATTCAAGATAGATGGGCATTTTTTTCACTGAAAGCAAGACATATGAACAAGCTTTAAGATGATACCAGTAACTCCCCATGTCCAAAAATTGACAAGCGCCTGATTCCACTGCATCCTGACACAAATAATAAAAGACAGGTTATTCTTAAAGAATATGGCATCAATAGAAAATCTACAAATTTGACCCTAATGTCGATTTTTGGCCAATATCTCCATTTGTGGATTGCGAGATGTAATTCGTGTTGTCAGCACGCCTCACATATCAAAAACTAAGTAGAAGAGGATAATAGGCCGAGCTGCCAACTCAAATTATGTAAAAAGAACACAATTGATTGGTGAAAAAGAGTGACATAAGGTTAAAAAGAGAAAGATCTTAAATAGTAAATAACCCTTCTAAAAATAGTATGAGTGTGAGCCCT